TGTCGAAACGTTGTACATTTGCTGCTATGTTAAACTTATATTAAAGTTTTTCTTCATTACCCATTCAAGCCGTCTCCAACCATTATTTGTAGAGATTTCTGTTTGAACACGTAGTCGAGTAAATGGGTTAAAATCTAAGGACGAGAAAGCACAGTTATACGAGTGCATTTCACATTAATAAAAACTGCAGAACTTTTAAAAATCGCAATAGCACATAAGGAAAAAAATATTTATAAGCTATATTCGTAAGTTTTATCTGAAAATAGTGTCAGATTATATCCAGCTGTGTGCCTGTATCTATTGTTTTGATGACTAACAACTAGTTGACGGAATTTGAAATGAATTATTGTACAATGTTTATCTTTAAATGTTTAATTGAAAATATATTTTGTGGATCACTATGATCCACATATCGCACAAATCTTCGGGTATATAGTTTGTTTGATGTTAAGAGCAAAGCTACACAATAGGCTATCCGTGCTTTGCCCACCATGGGTGTCGAAACCCGATTTTCAGCGTCGTAAGTCAACAGTCTTATTGTTCAACCATTGGGGAGTTCGGTATACAAATTTAGATTGTTTTAGCTCGGGGAACGTAGCATTTAGTGTTACACGCAAAAATCATGTCTTTTTTTCCGTGTCTTCAAAGTGATCTGATTCCGAAATAAATTTATCACTCTTTTTCATTGTTATGTATAGTTTTCATAGAGCTTATACTTACTACTGTAGTGACGGTTTTCCTTCAAGCTGCTCTATTTGTTTACCCGTACAATGCACACAATACGCGGGGAAACGATACCACATGTTGGCTCTAGTCATATTTTTAACTGCAAATCACTAGGTGGCGAAGAATTTCTGCTGTACTTGTTGCTAGGCCATGATTCACGCATGCGCATGTTATCTGTCATTATTTCTGGATTCTCGGACTTGCCATAAGATAGGAAACACGATTTATTTAAAGTTGTATTGAATAAATGTTAAACTGATACCCAAGATAATATTTATTTATTTAATGGCGTTACCTTACTTTATTACAGCTTCTTGTTCAAGTATATTTGGTGTCTCGTAAATATATGTTTTTTTTTGATCAAATACAACATTAATATGTTTGTTATTAATCGCAAAGCTACACGATAGACTATCTGTAGTGTACCCAACGCGAACATTGAAACCTGATTTTTAGCGTTAGAAGCTAACACACTAACGCTGAGTCAATGGAGGAGATGGGGGGGGGGGATTTGTATTAAAGTGAATATTACTTTGTATAGCCTTGGATATAGCATGAATAGGTTTTAATGTTTGTTGTGTACCTTTCGTTGTTTTCAAGAGTGTTAGATCCGCTTTAATTAAGTATTCATAATATTTTGATTAGTTACCGTATTTATCGGAATATAAGACGCACCCTTATTTTGAAGACAAAGTTTTGGGGGAAAAAAGCTACACTCGCATTTGAAAGACTTTTATTAAACAAAAATTCAATTTGTATATATATTGTATATATTAGTATATATTGTTCTAAGCACAAAAAAGCTCAAAACATCAAAATAAGAAAATACCTTAAATAAATAAAAACATAACTATTTATAATGCTCCCTAAGTAATAAAAAATAAATTACAGTGAAAGCAATAAAGATTTTATAGGTTTTGAACCAAACTAAATAACAGTAAACCTTTTTAAAAAGAAAAAACTACTGTTGTTATAAATAACACATTCAATTGAACGAAACTATGCTTGCCTATTTAAATATATTTACACATGGCTTGTTTATATCGTATATATATACATATATATTATTCATACCTTCGATGCATAGGACGCAATCAGATTTTGACATCAAATTTTGGGGTAAAAAAGTGCGTCTTATACACCGAAAAATACGGTAATTAACATAACGTGACAGTAGTTTTAATATGATTGGGATATACAACAGGAACCTATAACATTTTAAGTTTTTTATGGGTTAATTTCTAAAGTAGCATTCACATAACGTATATATAAAAGCTGCAATACGTTTGCATCTTCGGGAAGATAATGTATAATTTTCTGAAAACCTACCGCATCCAGCTCTATCAGGTCGATCGCAGGTCTTCAGTACTGAGTTAAAATGTAATCCTGTTGGGCAGTCTTTAACTTGAGCAATATTGCGGTCACAGCGAATAAACCGTGTACAATCTTTGTGTGGGAAGAGCCCGCAAGGCTCTGAGCATGTTTCTGGTTTGTCGCAGTCCACGTTATGCTCGTAGTCGCAGCTGTAGGTTTTGGGATTAAAGAGAAGCCCAGGAGAACAGCGGTCTTTGTATGCTTTACCGTTTTCACATCGTATGAAGGCTGCACAGTCTGCGTTGTCAGGAATAAGACAATATTCACACAGGTCACACTTTCCATTCGGCTCAGGCTTTACCGTTGGTAAGGTTCCTGAAAATATTGAAACTGGAAATCATACTTTCTTCGGAGATCAAAACAGCGTAGATAAGTTAAATGGACTCTTTTTAACAACAGTATGTATCAGCACGACAAAACAAATAAAAAGGCCAATTTCTGTTAGTAAGAGAACATCATACCAGAACAGCCTAGATAAAAGACTGTAGTGTTTTCTTATCTAGTGGAACAATGATGCAGTAAAAATATAAAAATGTGAAGTAAATAAGCTATTACTTATTAATATCCGTCAAATTAATTTTGGTTGTAAAAATATAACTACAGATGAAAATAACCAAACATGAGTGCTTATTTATTTAACATAACACTTGTTCAATAGCATCTTGATAAGTAAGCTATTTTATTAAACTGGATGTGTCGAACACAACCGTTAGTAAATTGAATTCTAATAAACGTATTTAATAATTAATAGAAATTATATAAGCCCTTGAATATTTGATTAATAAATATATATATATATATATATATCCAACGCAATCCTTGTTAAAGAAGTATGATAATTGACTATCTTATCAAACAGGAACAAAATCATGCTTCAGAGAAATCACTCAGCTGTTTAAGTAAGTATTAGTGAAATCTTCATTACGGCTTCATTTAATAAAATATAGCAAGGGAAGAAATATGAAATCTAAAGTTTGCTGCTGTACGGTACATCTCAGCATTGTGTAGAAGAGCATTTACTGATTCCACAACAGTGACAGTGTTTTCTCATTATCTAATCCAATCAGTTAAACAAAGAATGGAAGAACTTGCCATTACACCCAGCGTCTTCAGACCAATCACAGACTTCCTTTACCGGGTTAAAGTGAAGTCCACCAGAGCAAACCATCACATGTGGTATCCAGTGGGAACATTGTATGAACTTCAGGCAATCCTTAGGATGAGGGAATAAACCAAACCTAGAAGGACACCTCCAGTCGATGCCTACCAAATCATCTTGACATATAACATTTTCTGGTAGATCACAGTTTTCCAGGTAACGGTTAAATAGAAGTCCTCCACTACATTTGCCACGTTGAACGAACTCTCCCTCACATCGAATGAATCCTGCGCAGTCTCCATCAATAGGTCTGATACAGCAGTCACAGTCACAAGTTCCTGTATCTCCTGGTTTCTCGGGTTTCGGTTCCTCGGTGCTGTTTCCTATAATATATATAAAGGATGTAAAAACAGTCTGTATGTTTTAAGCGCAAGCTGCACAACTGTCTATCTGCACCGTGTCCGCCGCGGGAATCAAGCACTGAATATTAGCATTATAACACCTTAGACTTACTGCTTAACCATCAGGAGATATATGAGAGGAATTCAGAAAAAAAAATCATTGTATAAAAGTGTGTTACATGTGATAGAGAAATGATATATTTGATAAACAATCCAAAAAACTTCGGGAAAACTATGTTAGGTATGTTATATGAGATGAAGCAATCAAAGAAACAAAAAAAATCATCAAATGTATAAAACACTGAAAAGTAAAAATCATTGAACTGAGAAGAAGCAAAATGTCGAACTTGAAATAACAAAGGTTACTGATAACATAATTTACAATACACTCGGAAAGCTTTATTAATACGGAACAAATACGTGTGAACAACGTTAATATGTTATAGCTTTTGAGATATAGACTTCACGATATATTAATAATGGCTGGAGACGGCTTAAATGGGTAATGAAGAAAAACTTTAATATAAGTTTAAC